AGGTCAAACTCTGAAGCATTCACTGCATGAACCATCAAAAGCAATAGCACTAATCATGTGCTTGTAAAGCACAAGTTAAGAAAAAGATAGAGAGGGAGACATAGGGAATTAGCAGTATATATAATAGCCTCTCAAAAATTGATCAAAATTTAGGAATGTACAAGTTAAAGGACAACTTTAAATACCAGATCAGACCCACATGGTGACCAAATAGAAATTTGTTCCACAAAGATTGTTCTAAAACAACACAATCTTCTAAGTTGGATGGTTTTTATGACGATTTTTATAGTATGTTGACCAAACAAAAATTTGCTCAAGGACATTGCTACTGAATGAATTAATCCCATATCCTACTATACCCGACTATGATGATTATATCAACACCTTAAAAAAGTACCGACTCGAGATATAGCATAATAGTTACTATACATAAATTTGTCATTTCGAACTATCAAATTCAGCTCAGTATAGTATCCTAAAATAGAAACTTTACCCTAGCCAAACATCCTACAAAAAGTTCTGAAAGATTATTGAAATAGGCAAAGCAACGACAGGTAGAGTAGATAAGCATCGTTCCTAGTTACTGTGTCTGTTCTATATTCCATCTTTTTCTTATTCATTTGAGTGAATACCTGGTAACCAATTGATCAAGAATAAGAGCTGCACCAGGACGGATTAGATTATGTAAGCATTGAAGATTATAGCTTATGGGTGTTAGTGGTATTTGTCTTGGTCCTTCATAGTTTATACATTCTTTCTTAGTAACAGACATTATGCTTTCTTGAATGATCTTGAAACACAGAAGCAGAGCCAGGTTCTGATCCTAGGACCTATGGATAAAGAAGGCAGAAGGCCTATATGCGTGAGAGTTTCTATTTCTTGAGTTGTTCAGGAATTATTTTTGTTGGAACTCAAAAAATAATATTTACAAATAGCAACAGAATAGAACTTTAGCTTGGTGGACATTTACTGTGGGTTGTTTGGTCTCCTGAATAGAGAACAGACTGTAGAAGAATCATTTCGTGTTCTGAGTGCAGGGATCAAATTACTTTGAAATCGATTTGGACATTCAGCGGTTTAGTACATAGCAAGGAAGGGATTAGAAGGATACAGTAGTCAAACAAGCCGTGGTTTGGGACTTGAAATTATGCATAACATAAACAGGATTAACACAAAAACAACTCTTTTTCATAGAAATATTGGATTAAAAGACGACCAATATGACTTGAAAAGTCAAATGCATATCTTGATTTGAAGAAAGGTAGTATCAGCTAAAAAGCTTCAACCAATCATTCAAACAGAACACAAAGTCACATGCTGAGTTTGACTTTGTAGTCAAACAAGCGGTGGTTTGGGATTTGAAATTATGCATAACAATTAATAGTTAGGGGCAAACAAGAGTATTATAACAAATTAAATAAAGAGTTTAAGACAACATAAACAGGATTAACACAAAAACAACTCTTTTTCATAGAAATCCTGGATTAAAAGACGACCATTTTGACTTCAAAAGTCAAAATGCATATCTTGATTTGAAGAAAGGTAGTATCAGCTAAAAAGCTTCAACCAATCATTCAAACAGAACACGAAGTCACATGCTGATCTATTCACAAATGAATAAATGAATAGTAAAGCCATATAAAAATTCCAATGTAGGAATTGTTTCCAGTTTTCTCAAACACCTATCAATTGAATCAGCAAGAATCCTCAGATAGCATATAAAATGACGAATTTAAAGAAAAATAAGTAGGAATTTTAACGAAAACCCATCAACTGAATTAGAAAGAATCGGTTCAAAGAGCAACTACGGTTTAAATGCATGTGAAATACAGAAACTCTATAAGGATACAGTAGTCACTTTGTGGATGGCTCAAGTCAATAAAGCTGTAACCCACCTTTGAAAACCTCCACATAATCGTGCTTGAAAATCGTCTGAATCGTGCTTGAAAACACAAATTAACAGATGACGAAATCAGTAACCAAACTCAAGTAACAAAATAAACCCTAACTTAACTCAATCAGATGACGCAATAAACCCTAACTTACCTCACCTTTGAAAACCTCCACAGAATCGCTAGAAAACCTCCATAGAATCGCTTGAAAACCTCCACAGAATCGCCTGAATCGTGATTGATCGTGTTTGAAAATCGCGTGACAGGAGCGATCATTTATAAACACTCGCAGTCGCCTGAATGGTTGCCTTGGGGACTGAATCGTCATCTCTATAATCGTGGAGCGTGGAGAGAGTGCGATAGAGAGAGTCAGACGTTGGGCAGAGTTGTGTTGGAAAGGGAAGTGAGAGTGGAGCGTGGAGCGTTGTTTGGAAGCGATAGAGCTGGCCGGACATGTGTGTTTCATAGGGTAGTACTAAATGCATAAAAAGTTGGTTTAAGACTTTAAGACTTTATGCATTACAAGGTTGTACCTTGTGCATGTTAAGGTGTTTTTAAGACTTTTTTGAAATCTGCTTAATAAGGTAGTATAGATATATATAAATAAATATATATATATATATATATATAGAGAGAGAGAGAGAGAGATAGAGATAAAGAAAGAGATAGAGAGAAGTAGTACCTGGATACTCGAGCAATATATTTTCAATTTGTGCCAAATTGAACCTGTATGTTTCCTCTGTTTGTGATTCAACTAATGAAATTCATGCTTTGTAAAAGAAATTCCAAGATTGGTGCGACGTTATTGATGGTTTGCACTTTCTCAAAGTACTTTGATAAATATGCCATCTACAAAGTAGTTATTTAACATCGGGAAATACATTATTACATGCTTTCATCAACGACAACTCTCGATTGGTCATAATAACATGTGGGGATGCACATCCGTCCATTGTCTTTTTGAGTAAATTCAATGCCCATGTACAGTTGGATTCTTTTTCTTTATGCATAAAAACAAATGTTATACAAAAAGTCATATTAGTTGATGTTACACCAACAATCTCAAGGAGGGGCATCTCATATATGTTCGTTTTATACGTGGTATCCATCAACAACACGTGTGGAAATGCACGCCACAACGTCAATGATATTGGATGAATGAAAAATAAATTTTCCAACTGATTAGAGTTATTTGCACGTGCCTCATGCATATAGCCTTCTTCTTGCAGAAATGACATGACAACTTGTATTTGAGTTCTACCTTCATGTTCAGTTGCCCAAAATTTTCGACGTGCATTGTATATTGTTCTAAATGTAGAAATGTTATCTGGATTTTTCTCCTTCAATGTTGATAGAATATCACGTTGTTTGACATTCGTCCTTGACAAATCTTCCACCAAGCGAACTTCGTTTTCAGTCAATCGCATTACATATGGATGATCCTCCATATCTTCTGCAGGTTCATGATTATGTTTTTCACATATCATTGTTAACGTCCAACAATCATTCTTCGACGAATATTTTCCTACTAACTCGAATGGATAGTTCATTTTTTTTAATTCCACTATGTCTACTAGAACTACCATTACCTCTGTATATACCACCACCATGATCGCATATTAATATAACTTTAGACATGACTCCACTTCGCTTTGTCTTAGATCTTTTCGTGACAATAATGTAACCAAGGGAACGCCCCAACTTTTGCATCAAATCAATTAAATCTTGACGAGATTTGAACATCTTGTCGGTGGAAAATTTTGATGCGTGAATATCATCGTCTTGAATTGTTTGGTTTGTGTAAATATTATACTCCTAAACATCCAAGTATAAAAAACTAAACCATATTACAAAGTAGTAGATGAAAATTATATGACGAAGTAGAAAGTCAAATTATCCCATCATTGGAATTCGGATAAAAATGCAAATTTTCACCTTGAGTTGCTTAGTTTGTGTAATTATCATATTGCTAAACATACACATGCAAAAAACTGTATTACAAACTATATCCAAGAATAGCAAGTGAAAATATGTTACAAAATAGTAAAATGAAAATACATCATTATTGGAATTTTGATAAAAATGCATAATCGTCACGTAAGTTGTTTGGTTTATGTAAATATCATATTCCTAAACATACACATGCTTAAAAAAACTACATTTTACAAACTAGCAAGTAAAAATATATTGCAAAATAGTAAGTAAAAGTATTTCAGCGTTGTAATCTCGATAAAATTGAAAATCGTCTTTCCAACTAGCCATTAACAAGTTTGAAATCGAAAAGAGAAAGTGTTGAAATAGTTACTTGTGAAAAAGAAGTCAAAGGTGTCATCATTTTCAAGGTGTTTACATATATCTTGACTTCTAATGTTATAATTTGCCCACACATGTCTTTGACTTTTAATATTGAAACTTGTACACTAAACTTATGGGGTGCAAATAACAACCTTACGCATTTTTGGAATTCCCATAAATTATTTTGATATTCGGCTATTCAAATGATTACTTGAAATTCCTAAAAAGTCTTTCCATAATAGATCAAACTAAACTAAATCACCCATCGATTTTCTTTCAAATTCTTTTTGTTTTTTTAACCGTAACTGTCCCAGTCAGCTTCCACGTGACTTGACTAGTTCCACGGGGACCTTGAAGAACAGCTAAAAGATCTCGAGTGATGTTGGAGGGACTTAAACCGATGACCTATAGGGAGGAGGCCCAAAGGCCCAAGCATTATTGACGATGAGCTAAACCCAAGGTTGGTTTCCTTCAAATTCTGACATGCAACTGAGAGTTCATCTTTAAAAGTAACCATATTATTTACTCTAGTGATGCATATTATTTACTTGAGTGGTGCATGGTTGATGGTACGAGGGGGTGAAGAATGGGAATGAAAATGAAAATAAGTAATGGTGTTTGGTTCGGCATCAGTTATTCACTAAAAGTGAGCAATCATCCATATCCTAGTAAAACCGGAGGAATAACTTTTCATTTCCCAACATTCTCGTTCCTTGTCATACAATTTCCTATTTTCCATTTCCATTCCCTCAAAACGAACGAACGAATCTCCCCCTCATTTTACTAACAATTTGCATACATTTTCCAGTTTTATCATACATTCACTAATTTCTTCAACACAAAACCCTTATCCATCATTTCTTGAGACACCTGCTTTGCCATTTCCTCATTTCCATCATCCCAATATCCTTGCACCAAACAACTATACATAGTAGCATCTGGTTCCAAACCATTTCTCACCATTTCTTTCAAAAGCCCTTCAACCACCTTCATTCTGCCTTTACTTCTAACAATACCACAAATCACAGCATTGTAGGATAAGAAGTTTGGCTTACAACCCATTTGAGCCATCTGGTTAAGAACAACAGTAGCTCTATCTGCCTGATCTAGCTCCACAAGAACTCTAAACACTTTGTTGAAACTGGAAACAGGAGGACGAATCCCATATCCTTTCATTTCTCTCAAAAGATCAATTGCATCGTACGGTTTGTGTAGTTTACAGAATTCGTTCACTAAAACTTGGTAAGATTTTGCGTCGGGTTTCATTCCACGACGACCGATTAGGTCCTTGAAATGTTGGAATGCTTCATCTGATCTCCCGGCTATGCAGTATCCCCTTAATAAACTTGTATGCGTGGTGATTGTGTCCTTTAAACCATTTAATCTCATCTTTGTCATCATTCTTTTTGCACCATCAACGTCTCCACACACGCAAAAGCCATTGATCAATGTGTTATATGTTAGTTCATTAGGTTCAAGATTTCTGCTCACCATTACATCAAAACATTTCTGTGCATCTTCCAAATCTTTTATTTTACAATACCCATCAATTAAGATCGTGTATGTCACTGTATCTGGCAAGCAATCCTGGGTTTCTTTCATCCTCTCAACAACTTCTAGAGCTGCCTCCATTAAACCCTTCTTACACAATCCGTTAACGATAGTGTTGTAAGTAAGCAAATTAGGCCTCACAGGCATTTCGTCGAACAGCTTCTGTGCTTTCTCAATCATACCAATTTTACAGAAACCTTTAATCATTACAGTACAGGTGGAAACATCTGGCTTAACAATACCTTGGCTCATCATCTCATCAAAAAAAATCTCTGCCAAATCCACTCGATTTCCTCTCACTAATACACCCAAGATTGCATTATAAGAGAACAAACAACGACCTGAATACCTAGTTCTGACGCGATCAAATAAATGTAGAGCCCAACGAATATGACCCAGATCTCCGTGAGCTTTTATGAGCCTACCCACCATGAAATCCGATAACTTGTTGTTGGATTCGAGTAATTCAGTTGCTAGAGAGAACAAGTTTCGAGAAATAAGGAGGTCAGTGATGGCAATGTAAGAGAAATGGGTGTGTGAGTAATTGGTGGGATTAGGGTTAGGGTTTGAAGCCCAGTTGAAGAAGAAGAGGGCATGATAAGGGTTTTGCTGGTTTTGTATAACTCGAATAACGAAATGGCGGTTTATGTGAGGGGAGAAGTGATTGAGGATGGAAGGATTTGGATTGAGAGGATGATTTGGGTGTTGTGGGTTTAGGATTTGGAGAAGAGAGGTTATGGAGGAGATTGTTGCAAGAATCTGAGATGGGATTTCTGATAAGGATCTTCGGATATTGGGAGAAGCCATAGCCATGGCCACCGTCATCAAAGATCAAATGTTGTTCAAACGAGTAACTCTGTATACAAACCATGATTTCATCGTCAACCATGTTTTGTTATCATAAAACCCATGAAATACAGACATATATATCTTAATTTTAATGTTTTGTTTTATGATGTTTCATGTGAATGTTATAATAATATTTTATATGATTTTAAAAAAAATTATAATGTTTTTATTTTGAATAAAATAGAAATTTAAGGATATCTTAAAATTTTAAAAAAAATATATCAAATTAATTATATAAAAGTTTTTGTTTTGTTATGTAATTTTTTTAATACAATTTTTTCTGTTATAATTTAATTTAGGTTTAATAACTGAAGTAATTTTTTAATTTAACTAGAAGGGTACTCACGCAATGCAGCGAGATACATTTTGATTTTAATATTTTATTTTATTTTTTATCTCAGTCGATGTTATAATATGATCTTATGCGATTTTGAAAAAATGATGATGTTTTTATTTTTAATAAAATATAAATTTGAAGATATCATACAAATTTGACAAAAATATATCGATATTAGTATCAAATTAACTATTTAAAATTTCTTATTTTTTCTGTAATTTTTAATTTAATTTTTTTATTATAATTTAATTTATGTTCAATGAGTAAATATTTGGTTTATAATTTTATTATAAATATAATAATTAATTATTTAAAAAACTCGATAATATTCTAATTATATTTTAGATTTTTTATATTTTAAAATGAGATGTTTATCCTCTATTTGATTATGTTTATCCACAGTTAATTACACGAATTCAAACATGGAGCTTTAATAAGTTGTACTTGTACATAATTTACTTGTAATCTGAAATTTTAAGTAATATGCATCAATGTACAGTACTTCATGCATAAAAAATAATTTTTAAGAGTTTTTGTCAAATGCTTTATAATATAGTATAGATACCATTTTTAATTAATAAGTTTTTTTTTAATTATTGATGCTTATTTTCATAGAGCTCTACAGAACAGTAAAAAAAATCCTCGGTTAGACTGATGACTTTTGAAAAAGAACTCCAAAGACTCAAGTTTTATATCTAATTGAGCTAATCAATCAAAGTTAATGAGTAAGTTTTTAGACTTTAATAAAAGAATAAGAGGTTGTTTAACAAATATTTAACAGGCAAGCGTTTATCGGCAAAAAGTCACCATCATTACTTATTTTTTTGGGTGACATTCCTGATCATCAGAATATATTATTAATAAACATCTTTTAACCGATATATACTTATTACGTAAAAATCTTTTGTAAATAAATTCGAAGTTTCGAGATTTCCTTTACAAAAAGTAGCGTACGTAACTGGAAACACATAGGTACAGTTAACCAAGTAAAATTGTTATAAAACTCTAAAATAGAGTGGTTATTTTAATATAAGTTTTGAAATAAAATAAAACAAAATTCTGGTGCAAAAAGAATATAAATCAAGAATTACCAACAAATTAATTGTACCTACCATATATCAATTATTAACAAGAATCTTTCCATTTCAAATATTTAATGATTTAAAGATCCATTTTCTTCTTATTATTATAACGTTATTCGAGTAAACTATGGATTTGGTCTTTAACATATGTCGATTATTATGAATTTGATCTTTTATTTTTATTTATTACGTAAGAAACCTTCACGTATACAAGCTTTTTGGGATTTGGTCCCTGGAGCAAAAAGTTTTTTTTTTTATGGATTTTTGGTCCCTGAGGCACGACCGTCTATTACTTCAACCGTCTATTACTTCCGTTAATTAGAAGGGAAGATAGTCCATTTCCTTTTATTTATGTATTTTAAGATTATTTTAATGTTAAATTATATATTATATATTATTGTTGGGGTTTAAATTGTAATTGTAATCAAGGTATAGGGGCTTATCTTGTAAATACTCATAGGGTATAAATACATTTGTGTTAGTTTGTTTAGCTAACTAAGCTTTCTCATATTGTAACCGTATCTTGTAATTCTCTCTCAGTATCAATACAAAGAAGATTTTTCCATTGATGATTTCTTGAAACTTTTGTTAATACAACTTGATTTTGGGTTTAACAATTGGTATCAGAGCTGAACATATGTCACATGGTTGATTCAAAAATTATGTCAACTGGTATCCTAAGTGGACCAAGAGTTAGTTGCCTTTTTTGTTACGTTCGATGTTTTGAATTCTGCTCTGAAAGTTGTACAGGATTCAATAACAAAACAGTCGGTTGAATTGAAGAGGTTGTTGAAAGGGAAAAGTATTGTTGATTTATTGCCTACACCGCCAACACCAACTCCACCACATCCTCAAAGTCAACCAAATGATCTATCTGTGGAGCATTTGAAGTCAATGTTATATGCAAAGCTCATCTCTCACTCTACCAGTGAAGATCCAACAAATGCAGATTTAGTTGGTATTCTGAGATCTCAATCTGAAGCTTCATCAGATGTTTTGATCAGAACCTAATTATTACTATTTAAAGATGAGGTTAAAAGGAGTTTCTTGAGCGTTACAAATCTTATCAGATCAACTTCATATTCTCTTCAGAAGAAACTATCAACTTTATCTGAAAGGGTTCAAACCCTGGAGGATATTTGCAGAACTAATGGATCTAGATATTGTATCTCTATAACATTAAGTGATAACACATGCAAGTATACACGTGTCAACACTATCGCCTTCAAGTAATAAAATGGTAAGAACCAAGTATCATATTCCACAGGGATAGGTATCTTAAGTTGTAAGATATCGAGTTTAAAGACTAACTTCAAATGGCAAATTTGAAGACTCTGATTGGCTTTGAGTTAACAATGATAAAATAACATAAGATAAAGGGGTAGCATGGGTGTAGGACTTATGGTGAAATGTAAACACAAATTCCAACAAACAATGCTATAAGAATGCTACAACATGCCATAAGCCAAAACTAGTTCCACTATCTATTTTGAAGATATTTCTCTCGGACTTCACCATTACACTATATTAACTTTCAATCAATATCTCTATGTGGTATACGGACCAGGGATAGTTACAAAATGGTGTTTTCAAAATATATTGATAAACAAATCTCTTTGTTAAAAATTACTTTCTCAAGCCGGTTCCCATATCATTCAAGTTGGCGTGTGTTCTAGGTAGTTCATCTCTGAATCTACCGCACTTTAACACTTTTAACAAGCGACCAACCTGTCAAGAAGAGATATAAATGACAAGTCTTCTTGTCGGCAACTTTCTCAAGTCTATCTCTCATATCATTCAAGTTGACATGCATTCAATGGCTTATCTCTAAGACCATGGCACTTTAACACTTCCAAAGTGATCAACTCATCAAGAAGTGTCATTGGTTTTTATAAAAACTTGAATGAAATAGTGGAACATTGTTATTGCAAAACAACGTCCACTTTCCTTCGGTTTAACTTTTCACCCTTTGTCTTACACCCAAGCTAATAGAATTAGCTACTCGTCACATAATTAAATGACAAGAAATATAAAGAACATAAAGTAAAGACATAAATATAAATGACGGAAAGTAAATGACTGAATATAAAGAGCGAAAATTAAATGACAAGAAAAGCAAATAAAGTAAGAACAATGTTGCAGCAACTCATAATGAAGAACACTATTTAAAGAAAATGAAAAACTAACTTGCATAAACATAAGAACTTCATGTATGATTGTTCAGTGTTTTTGGGATGATTCAAAAGAGAAACCAAGGGCCTATTTATACAAAAAGTCTAAACAACAAGACAAAAGCCTTAGAAACTACCATGTTCCTAAAAGGAAAACAAAAGTAAAAAAAAGAGTATCACATCATAAGCAAAAGTAACCTCCAAAGAATGATATAGAACTGTGAAAAGTCTAGGGCTGCAAATTTGATTATAGAACTGACAGTTGAAAAGTCTAGGGTTGCAAATAAAAGGACAAAAGAAGATATCCTACCAGAAAAATTATTGATTGACATCATTGATATAGAATCAGATGCAGAAGAGTCAGAATCTCACAAGTTACAAGTCAAGAGGGAGATAAAAGACTTGTTTACTTTTTTTGAAAATGAGTTTTAAGAGGAGGGAGACTTCGACATGATCAATAATTAAATGAAGAAATTCCAGAGTCACCTGATAGAGAGCAACATCAACTTGAACCTTCTACACATCAAATGGAGCAACATGTCAGAATTAAAAGTGCACCGGTACAATCAGAGCAAAATGAAAGATGGGAGTTTTAGAATCAGGGTTGCTTTTCTGGAAGACTCTAAGAAGAAATTTTTTGTTAGAATCATCAAGGATATAGATATTGTGAAAGTATTGGGTACACTTAATTCAACAAGGATCGACAAACTGAATATATTTACATGATGAGATCCCAAGTTCAAAATGAAAGTGTTGTAAAGTCAAAACACAAGTGGTATCTATTATACAAGTTTACACAACGAGGTTAGTTCACGTATCATATCCGATCTTCCATGTTACAAGACAAGATGGTAGAATATGGAGGTTTCCTGAAGCTGACTTTCATTTGTTAAACTTAGAAGATTTGGAATTCATGTACTTTGAACTGCGACAGACAACAATACTGACTAGAAGATGTTACTTTTTCTTTAACTGCTATGATCAAATTTCTTAAAAGATAAGTGAAGTATTTTTACATCTCTGACTTACAAGGAGTAGATAGCAATCAGAGAAAAGTGAACTTACTAAAGCCAAATCAGAGTTTGTCAGATGTTGAGAACTTTCCTATTTACATGATCTCAGAAGAGTCTGAGTTCGGTGTGGTGTACATGAGTGGAAAATGTGAGAGAAGCTTCTTGAGGTTTAGAGAGAGAGGTACTTTTTCTGATGGTACTTTGAAACTGATCAATATTCAATTGAAGAACAAGCTTGATGTTGACAAAAGAGAGAAGATAAAGATGGATGAGAGAGACAAGGAATTGATTGTCAAAACCTTAGATTGTATTGAAGATCGACTGCAATTCAGGAACATTATCAGAAGGTTTGAAACCTATTTTGGTCTTAGAAAGAAAAGAAGGTTTGTGTAAAGATTGTAACCTGATTACAAAGGGAGAGAATATTGGGGTTTAAATTGTAATTGTGATCAAGGTATATGGGCTTATCTTGTAAATATCATTGGGGTATAAACATATTTGTGTTAGTTTGTTTATCTAACTAAGCTTTCTCATATTGTAACCGTATCTTGTAATTGTCTCTCAGTATCAACACAAAGAAGATTTCTCTATTGATGATCTCTTGAAGCTTTTGTTAATACAACTTGATTATGGGTTTAACAATAATAATTACCATCATCATCATCATCATCATCATTTATTCATTATATACATTGTAGAAAAATTAGGGTTCATCGCTCTTACTCTTTGAAACAGTCATCGTCCACATTCTCTTGCCGTCTCTGACTCCGGCGAAGGCAACCTCCATCAATTCTGGCTTTCCAACTCTCTCCCTGCCTTATTTATACACCCCACACCAACCTCCATCATCATCCCTCATCTCCACCATGTAGCTTTTTGTTCCACACTCACCAACATAATCCCTTTGGAGTTTGATAAGTAGACGTATGAGAAGGCGTCGAAGATGAAAACATAAGGACAACCACAAATATGCAACGACACTCCCCATCTTCCATCGACTCAAATTTGGACGAGAAGAAGGCGACAGTTTTTGGGATCCGGTTCAGTTTTTATGAACAAACTCAAAAACTCAGGGACCCAACCATCAGTCATATCGCCGGACACACCCAACCACCTCGATCGCCGACCTTGAGATCCCAAAATCAAATTGGTCCTCTATTCAATCCCTATGCATCCAACAAACAGTTCCTCAATTCAATCCCTCTGGATGAAAATCGAATGTCCCTCCTGGCCATGTATAGAGAATGGGGAGTTGCTCGATGTAGGAAAGATGATGAAGGTGCTTCTCCTTGATATGTTACTCCTTGAAAAGAAAAGCCACCTTTGAGATCTTCAGATCTGTTCCATCGAACTTTAGACCTTCTTAGTGTTCTTGGATTTGGGGTTTGAAGTGGGTTCAATGATTGCATGTTTTTTATTTTCAACTTCGATTTAAGGTTTTTGATTCAGAGTTTGATTTATGTTTAGGTTTTTTTTTATTAAATTTGTATAACTTTGTTGTTAAATGTTCTTGGTGTTCAAGATGTTCTTGATGCCATAGTTGGGGAAGATGGATATTCAAGAAAAAAAATACAAACTTAATTAGAAAAGGTGTAAAATAGAAGAAAAAGGTAAAAGGACAAGTTTACCCTCATACTTAATGCAAAAAATAGACGGTCGTAACCAGAAGGGTGGTGCCTGATTGGTTTGAGCTTAGCTCCAAATGTCAAAAGTATCAGGAGGTCCCAGGTTCAAATCCAATGAGGAATAAAAAAATCTCCTTGTGGCCACGGAGGTTCAAATGCGGTGACTCCGGGCTATCTGCAAAGCAGGTGGTCGCCCTGGGATTAGTCGGCTCGCATAGCGGGTTGGATATCCAGGTTAATAAAAAAAACAGTCGTTTGTCTCAAGGACCAAATCCATAAAAAAAAAACCCCTTTTGCTACAGGGATCAAATGCAAAAAATCTTGCATAGGTAGAGCTTTTTATGTAATAAACGAAGATAAACGACCAAATTCGTAATAATTACTACCTTAGAGACCAAATCTATAAATTACTATTATTATCATTGTGTTTCCGTCTTTGTAATAAATAAAACGTCATTCTTATCACCCGTTAATTTGCACTTTCTATAGCAAATAAGGGTTGTATGCATGAATAAGTACAATATCATATATTAGCAACTATAACATAATATTCAATTAATTATTTTTGAATGGGGTTCTAAAAGATACATGATTTTTTTTTATTGTAAATTTGTACGATTACAATCATATGAAGAGGTAACCTTACGTTAAAGAATTCACGTACTTTATAAGATTTATTTAAGACTCTGCTGGACTATTGCTACTGATTTATGTAGGCTTATAGAAAATATTTTTTTACTTTTATATTAAAATTTACAGATGTAGGATCATAATGAAAAATAACCATAATTGTTACATCTATAATCATCACCTTATGGTGGATCTAAGCCAAAAGGTTATATTAATTCTATGAAAGATTGAAATTTTGGTAATCTTTAACTATGACATATAACGAATGTAGTGTTACACTAATAGAGGATTCACATAACCTGAAAGAACATATAGTGTGCTAAACTACTAGTGGTTTATGTAGGGGAAATTGACTCGAATAGTCATTCCATCAATTTAAATTGATCTCCTAGATATTTCACTCCTGGGTTTATCTAAATGTCATCATGTTCACAGCATTACTGACCTGGCTAAAAGATAGAAAAAAAAATTATCAGATTCAACCCAGGTACGTAATTTATGGTGCCACTTGCTAACAATGGTGGAATTTGATTTTTTTTTCTTTTAGCCAGGTGTGCAATATTTGCGGACGTGTATATTGCGGACGTAGTGACATTTGAGTAAATACTATGGATTGCGGATGTGGATATTGCAGACGTAATCCCAGAAGAGGAATGACTAGAAGACTAATTTAAATTGGTGAAATGACTATTTGAGTCAGTTTCCCTTTATGTAGGCTTACAAAAAAATAAATTGTACAACCTTACGTTAAATGTACAAAAGGCCATGATAAAGAAAAAGTGGTTGTTTGATTAGAAGTATTAAGCAGTAATCTATGATAATGAAAGTAAAAAAAAAAGTGTTTGGTTTTTTGTAATATAATGAATCATTCCCCTAGAAGCCCAAAATTCTATTCCTGGTTAAACGGGGAAATGAAAATTCTTTCCGATTTTCTTCTTTGTCATTTTAATTTTTATTCACCAGCATGAGCCAAACAGACCCTTATTCTTGTTATCTTACATCTATATAAAAGTAGGGGCCATTTACCTAAATGCTTACCCGGTAAGTACTTACCGATATGATTCAACATTATAATTTATGTTGATACGTAAGATTTTAGTACATCAAAACATATCGAAAGCAACAGGTTAATGGGTAAGACTCGCTATCCTTACTTACCGGGTAAGACTCGCTATCCTTACTTACCGGGTAAGACTCTCTATCTTTTTCATTGCTCTTACTCGGTAAGATTCTTGGCCCTTCTCATGTTCATCCGAAAAGGAAATTCAACCAGTAAGCACTTACCAAGTAAGTGTTTAGTAAACGACCCCGTAATCTTGTGGTGGATCTAGGTTGTAATTTATATGCATTCAATATAAGTTTTTTATAACATGTTCATTTCTTGGATAGATTTAAGTGAATTTTGATAAATTACAATACTCCAAAACTTGTTTATTGAAATGTTTTCATAAGATATTTTTCGAAATGTATCGCATAAAAACAACTAATATGACAATTTACTTTGAGTTAAATTATAATACAGTTTTTTTAAATTAATTTGTGACGAAAATAAAACTTTTTAAATTGTCAAACTTCTTCTAAACAACTTATTATATATATATATATATATATTTATAGAAAACCATAATTATTGTTCCTATAACTTAAAAGGTAATTAAGTATTCTATTAAAATGATCGTGAACATCCTAACATACAAATTTTATTGTACTGAATTATTTACAGGCATTGTAAAAAATTTATTACACAAAATCATCTGGTCTGCAACGTTCTAAAACATATTTGAGCAAAACAGTATAACATCTCACTCTTTCTACATGTGGAAACAGTACGTTCCAAAACAATATAGTATCTCACTCTTTTATATGTATGAAAACGACTATCATCCTACTTATTGTAGCGATATTAACACGGACATTTAATTTATCGTATTTCAAATTTGGCATAAAATTTCAAAATCAGTATCATTTTAGCTGCTTCTTTTTCCTGTTTCACATAAGTGTATTCATGTTACAAAATAAATAACGTTAAAATTAACGAAAATGCATATTAAAACGAGTAACTTTGTAGATTAATCATTTTATTCCAAAATTATGGTCCCAATTTTTTATAAGCATACAATAATTGATTTGTTGGCCATCAATTTTGAAGGAAAATTATGTGGTAATAAAACCGCAAATCCTTTTAAGGAATTTTCCGATGAACCACCGGCCACCATGCACGCGCATCTCTCACTTCCTTATAAAACCTTCGCTACACCTGTTCATCGCCTCATTTCATCTCTCTATCTCTCTCAATTTCTCGATTCAATCCATTTCTTGTTTTCGATTTTCGTTCCCCTTTCTATTCAAATCAATACCCTTTAAGCACATCGGAAAATGTACGGTCGGAATCACAAATCGGTGAGAGAAACCAAATCGAAGAAAAATACACAAAACCCATCGTTTTCTTCCACCCTGCTTGATGAAATCTACCGTTCCATGGATGGCGGTGACGAGAAATCCAGTGAATTTAAGCTGCGAGAAGAGAAACAGAGCGTCGGTGCCAGAGCAAAAGCGAGCAGTGTGGTGGAGGACGAAGGAATGGCGAGTCACCGGCGACCTTTTTTGGTTGAAAAATGGATGGATATGAAAACTTTTACCGGTCGAACGAGGCCTTCGACATTGCCGGAATTCCACCGGAAATTGGCCCTGGATAACGACCCGGTTTTCCTGAGTTCTGGGTCGAGTTCGTCTGATTCGAGCTTCGGATGGTTTTCTGAACCGGATGGTTTCTGCGACTCCAGATCGCATAAACCATCTTGTTTCAGTAAACCAAAACCCATAAAAACTGATGCTTTTTCGAAAAAACATCAGAAAATGGAGTTGGATTATTGTTCAAATGATGATCAAACTACAAATGGGGCTTTAATCAAATCGAAATCTCGAGCATTGAAGATTTATGCAAACCTCAAGAAAGTAAAACATCCCATCTCGCCGGGAGGTCGACTCACGACCTTTCTCAACTCTCTTTTCGCAAACGGGAACGTAAAGAAACCAAAAGATTCGAATTCATCGGGTTTCGATAACAAGAAGATTATCGAAAGAACAACCCATGGATCCACATGTTCATCAGCTTCATCGTTTACAAGATCATGTTTGAGCAAAAATTCTCCAAGATCAAGGGAGAAGCTCAACAATGGAATCCGAAGAACGGTTAGATTTTATCCGGTGAGTGTAATCATCGACCAAGATTCCCGTCCCTGTGGCAAAAAATTCATCCGTGATGAAGAGGATTTCACCAAGTACAACGAAGACGACGATTATAGTTACGACGAAGATACATCAAGCGATTCGAGCTCGGATTTGTTCGAGCTCGATCACTTGTCCATTCTAAAAGAGCGTGATGAAGAACTTCCTGTATATGAAACCACCCATTTTGGCACCAATCGTGCGATTGCTAATGGGTTAATTTGCTAATTGATTTTGTTCACATATAAGTTTATTTGTTTGGATTTCACTTGACAACATTCTTTTTCTATCTTAGTACAAAAATCAAGACAAAAACCCTTTAAAATTTAAGCTAAACTTGACTTGATTGTTGAAGATACTCTTATTTATACTACCTTATAAACCAGATTTATCAAAAGTTTTAATAATCTTTTTTAATGCACAAAGTACTATATATTTATACATAAAGTTTTAAAAGTCTTAAAAACAACTCATAATGCATTAAATACTATTATTTTATGCAATTAGTTTTAAAATCTCTTAATCTACAATTAAAATAACATATAGTACAAGTTACCACTGCATATTATTACCTTTTATTTTCATGTTCTCAAGATATTTTTGACACATTTCACTCATGCCTTCATCTCCTCATACCTCTATATCTTCTTCCCAACCCCCAAGGTGAGATTCAAACTGATATTCACCATGAGTTATTAAAAGTTTTTCTCCTTCAATTGCTCTAGAACTCTTAGTCTCGCTCTCGATCTCTTGATTTTTTGCTCTTTGTGTAAATCGAACACATTTGTGGAATCGTTTAAATATGTTGGATTTTAAACTGTCATACAATTTTTTTATCGATAGACTGTAATTAGAACTATAACTCTTATTTATTCAAATTGTATTAATATGTAAAGACCAAATACAACTTATATTATCGTTATATCTTTTTTAATAAAATCAATGATGGTTAAAATTTACCAACAATAGTGGTAGATTTAGGGAAACTGAAATGGGAAAGACAGAGATCTTGAAAAGAAAAGAATGAAATTGTTCGTTTCTTTTGGTTTTGGTTGATCCCAAGTTGATGGATGGATGGATGGATGGATTGATTGGAAAATTGACAGCTTTGTGAGATAATTTAAAAAAAAGCAAATTAAAGAGATATCAAAAGAATATGAAGATTCCACTATCGGAATTAGAAGCAAAGCCAAAGACCATTCATAAAGTCATTTTTTTTCTCTTTATTATTATCTCCAACACCTGGATTTTTTAAAGGCCGAGGAAATATGTACTCCTTTTTATTGATAAAGTATACTGTTTGCTATTTTTTTTTAGGTTAAAGTCAACTAATAAATGTTTTTATTAAAAAATTCAAAAATTTATGTCTTATAGATTTATGTTTTATGATAAATTTTTGTCAACTAACTATTTCTAAATTAATTCAAATATTATAAAATTATTTTTAATTTTTATAATTGTATTGTTAATGTTTTAATTGATTAATATTTTATATATTTATTTTTTTAAAATTAATTTTAAAGCTACAAAGATAAAATAATTTAATACAAAAAAGATCATCAAAATAAATTAATTGATAAATCAACAAATAAAATACAAAAAGTCTGAAAATATTACAACTCAATCAAGTGAAATAAATTTTGTATAACAGTTGTTCCTACTTATTTATCCGGGTCATGTACGGAGTAGCCCATGCGGTTGCTCAATCATATTTGAAACGAAACCAATTTGGCACGATAAAAGGCATTGGGTGCCATTCTGCCAAAGATATTTTGACGTAATAATTATCGTTAACGTACCTAATTGTAAAAGCAACATGTTCATACCACGGCGAAGGACTAGATCGAAGTTGGAAGAATGTCAGACTACCTATAGTTGTTAGAATGTTGTATCTTGAAGCAATCAGCAAGCCCGTTTAAAAAACATCCATCCAATGCTCATTTGGTGCTGATGAGTCCAACTCAAAAAAGTTCAAGAAGTTATAAAGATGATGTCATAATTCAATGTCATACACCTCGAGATATTATGTCTTGTATATGTTTAACTCCTCCATTAAATCATATCAAATAGATGGCCATTCATTTTCATGGCGACCGAGACAAACAGTTATCGCTCAAAATCCACAGTTTTCATCGTCTTTTATATCTTGTACCAGTGTGACGTAAAGATGTAAATTATTTAAAAATTGATTAATACATTGAGATAAAAAAAAATTAACTTGCATGAACTACATTACGTATCTGTACAATGTAAGGTTGAAAAATACTTGGAAATTAATTAATGTATGGATGTGCATAATTTTTTTGGTCGAAGTATGAACTATGTCTCGCTTGTTCATTGTTCGCCAAAATATCAAACTCCACAAATGTTGACGCGTCTGAACAGCTATCCCAATGAGGTTCCTGAGTTGGTGGGTCGACATTGAAAATCGTTTTTCCAACTACCCATTAACAAGTTCGAAATCATAAAGAAAGAATGTTGAAATGGTTACTTGTGAATGAAAATACAAATTCCACTTCCCTTTTTTTGGATTATTTTCTGAATTTTTAAAGTTGCAGAAGGATTAATGATATATTCTATGAAAATATAGATAAAATGAAAATTAAGAATTTGCATATGAATTTTTAAAGTTTTTATTCGATTTTTATAAGGAAA